GGGCGCAGGAGATTACGTGAGAGCGCGACCCGTAGGAAGCGAACGCGTTGGTGATACCTGCACTGCCCTTGGACGACGCCTGTCGTCGCATATTGCTGCCCAGTGTGCGGGGCGGTTGTCCTCCTCTGTTGATTGTGATTACGCACGAAGAGCCACATAGCGCAGTGGTTTTGCTGTAAAGGTACACAACATCCACATCGGAATACCTTGGCGTGTTTACCTTTTCCGTTTATTCGTACATGCGTTGACCGTATTGTTTTCAGGAACATAAGAAAGAAATGGAAGAAGCAGTAAGGAAGGAGCAAACTAGAGGAGTGTTTGGTACAGTGAGTCAGAATATACTTAAGAAGCAAAGTATTACATGCACTTACTGCGGTATCACACGCGGTCGAGAGTTTGTGCTTTCAGACAGCCATGACTTGCCGTGCGCATGTCACAAGCCGTTCAGATGAATGAACTGGTCCCCCCGAAGATGTTGGTACCCTTTTCAGAAATAATAAATGAGTGCAAGATCACTTGGCGCACTAAAGGCTGCTGCATGGCTGCCATATAACAACTACTATTGGCCCTGTAGCTATAGCGTTCACATTAGCCTGAATTTTACCAAGAGGTGCCCGTTCACCAACGTGGGGCTCCACTAATCATCGGAGAGTAACAATGCGTGGCCGTAGAATCCCCGGGAGAAGGGACATGCTGCGAAGAACGATGGCCACTCGTCCGGCGTGCTCAGACAGGCGCGAAATTGGCCCAATTCGAAGCGGCGGGTCGCGTCATAGCGGGGTGATAAGGCTTACGCGCTCGCCCTGCCGTTATGCCCCAAGGTTCACGTTGCGCGTGCGATCAAACCTGCGCGCGCTGCTCTGTACGGCTGCCGTCACGCTTTTGGCGGGCCGCACCGCGTCCCCTCCTTGCGCATCAGCCTGGCCGTGGGAGAAAACCGGTGAGGCGTTGCCCCCGTCGCCTTCTGCCCCGCTCTTGAATCAAGCGACCTGTTCGGAGTAGTCACAACACCGCGAGCTATCGCGCCAACACTTGGCCGAACCCAGCTCGCCCTCGGCACGTGGTCTACGCGAAGGGAGGAATGCCTGCGTCATGGCACACGACGAGGCAGGCGCTCCTAACAGTTAGCAATCCGCCGCCTTCACAGCTTGCCGATATGAAAGAATGATGGTGGTATGCATATGCACAAGGTTGCGTTTGCACGTGCTGTGTGCACCAAGTCTGTCGTCGCAAACTGAGAGCATGCGTATCTTCTGCGTTGTGTTCCAGCACGCGTTGAAGAAGGAATATTGCGGAGCTCGCAACGCTCGTCGCCAGTGTAGTACATTGTCTCAAAAGAAGGTGTAGAGGGAGGGGCATTGTTGCCTCTCTCAGTTCCCTCAGAAGCAATCACTGAAGGAGCGAGTGCATTCTTTCTTTTGTCTGTACACGGTGACTTCAAGCAGAGGACATGCGAGAGCTAAACAGCAAGAAGTACCCTACGAAGTGTGCGCCAAAGATGCCTCTCCGATCCTTCTTCGTCGTCCCTTCAGGGCGCCGCTCCTGGTGGGAGCCCCTTCCTCGAAGGTGTTCATCCGAGGTCTCGGCTCGGAATTAACGTGCCCCCCTCTTCCACCCCTTGCCACGCGAATCTGCGGCGCGTACACACAAGCTCAGTGGCGCTCCTTCTCCCGAACTGTGCATCAGTGGGAGCACGCTCTTTCACAAACCGCGCGCGACTAAAACAGCTCCCTCTCCGCCTTGCCCAGAGGCGGCGGCCAGAGTTAGCGTGCATGCGACAACGCGGCCGCTTTGTGCGCCGTGCGCGCAGCTGCTATTTGCGAGACATCAGGCTGTACCGAAGCGGGATCGCACTCGTCTTCTTCAAGGACTCGTCGGCGAGGCGCTTTCAGACTCACCAGGCATGCGCTCGCAGGTCGGGCAAGCTGTAGCCCCCGCTAGCGATAGGAAAGTGCCTCCGAGGAAACTGTAGCGAAAGTCTTGCGCTCTCTTCTTCTTCCAGTTTCGACGGCTCGTGACGCAAGCGTCGATAGTGACTTTTGGCGGGCGACGCTGGACTTGAGCGAAATTGCCGAAGGAACGATAGATTCAGTGAAATCGCGAGAGCATTGTGACGATGCGTTTTTCAATAAATGAGATGTACTGATGCTAGGGGCTCTGACAGTCATGAAATGAATCGCTGGAGCGTGTTTGTCAAGCTTTGACTTTACCTTCAGGCGTTTTGCAAGAAAAGGGAACCAGCCCACCGATTATCATCCCACTGTCATCTTGGCGAAAGGATGGAGGCAAAGATGCTGTAAGCCCGTGTGCTCAGATTTGTGTGCACTTTAAAGAACCAGTCAAAATTTCCGGAGCCCTTCACTACGGCGTCTCTCATAATCATATGGTGGTTTTGGGACGTTAAACCCCATCATCTCCGCGCAAGAAACAAAGAGAGAAAACACGAAAGAAGACTATGCCAGTTGTTCAAATGTTATTCGGCGAGCACGTTGCTTTGCGCACAAAGAAGTGACGAAGCGACCAAACTATATGGCTTGTACGTATGGTGCGATTGTAAAATCCATATGACACCCGTATTTGCTTGACTGCGGCGCGCGTCGATTTCTCATGCCGGCGCACTGTTTTAGGAGGATACAAAACTAGGTATAGTACGCCTGGGAGGGGAGGGGGGAGGGGCAGCTTTTCGAAATAACAGGAAACGCAGGGTTCCTCACACGCCGCAAAAAAAAAAAACTTTCCTCTCCAATTCCATTTCGAATCAAAGCGCTCTGGCATTGGCGCAGAATAGGGGATGGAACGAGAAGTCGCAAAGAAAGAGCGCTGGTATCCGCGGCTGCCGTTGGCACGTCGATCGCTCTTCATCTAGGTTTTGGCGCGCTGCGCGCGATATGAATGCTGCGGCGCGGTCTTTTACTGCGCCGCGCTTCAGCGGCCCCGCGCTACGGCACCTCGAGCGGCCTTTCGTGCGCCGCAGGAATGAAATGACGTTCCCCAGGGTACGACGGCGCGGGCCGAATAAATGATTGTAATGATAACAATGGGGGTAGTAAAAGAAAATAAATACCTGAGAGGCGGATTTGAGAAACAGGACCGCAAAGAAGGGATCCTTCCAATGATGTGAAATGACAAAAAAAAAAAAAGCGTGCGCAACTTCGAGGGCTGGGGCGAAGTGGGCGAGAGTGGCTAGCGGTGAAGACAGAAAAGTAAGCTTCACAAAGGCTTCATAAAAGAAGTTTCTCATATACGTAACTGATTTTTTTTTTCCTTTCGTTGTAAAAGTTGCTGCCGGGTTTGTTCGAACATTCAGGCGCAATGAATCCGAGGAAAAAAACCAGGCTTTCACGCGCACAGTCACTGAATTTTTGGAAGACGTGCTCCGGGAACGTCATCTATAGTGATTTAAAGCAGCGTCGTCGTATACGATCCGCAATCAAACCCCGCGGGTGGCAGAGACCAAATAAGAACACGGGCGCGCTTAAAGAACTGCTGGATGGAGAAGAGGAACGATGGCAAGACTAGAGGGTACATGGTGGGCAAGACCTAGAGAAGTCTAGGTCTTCAACGAAGGAGAAACTGGTCAAAGAACGAAACGGGGAGAAAGGAAACGAGACGAAATAAAAGCCTCCGGTTAGCACGTAGAAGGGAGACAAATGCTTGGTATAGTAAAAGAAGACAAAGAAAGATGGAAGAGGTGGGCGGAGGGCCCTTGCGCTTAGAGGAGAAAGAATGAAGGCCAGAGCGGGTCGCGGTGCTTATCAGAGGCCGCCAATAGTTCCGGCGCCAGTTCCCAGGGGGCGCAACTTCCCGACTCGCGCTCGCGCGCGCGCTCGGCCGCGTGCAGTTTGCCTGCGTAAACGGGGCGCCTGTTCAAGGGCTGATTAGGCACGCGCATGCGCAGATGCACGTGTTGGGCCCTATTCTTTTGTTTCCCGCCGACCTCCCCTTGTTCGTGCGTGGAGCAAGCGACGTACTAAAGTATGTACCAGTGGCCCAGCAGGCATCATTTTGTGGCGCCACGCTTTCCGTGTATGTGCAAGGGCGCCGATATCGCGCACCATTTAGTTGGATGCATTAGCGGCACCGTATCTCTCTAGCTGTTCGCTTCTCCCACGCACTCTTCCCGTTTTTTTTTTTTTTTTTTTTTTTTTTTTTGCTGTAGTCGCTCCCTTGGCTTTTCTGTTCTCAATCTGTACCTCTCACATAGCCCCGCTTGCCACAATCTGATTTTCTATTGCGCCCTTCAAGAAGACACGTGTTCCCCGAATGCGTTGGAAGACCGAATAAGAAAAGTTTTGCCCGAACATTATCGCCATTGCGAGATTGAGGTGCCGGCTCTCGGCTGACAGCTGCTTTTTGTCAAAACCTCTTCCCTGTTGGGTGTATATTCGAAAAGCGAGAGGGAAAGAAAAAAGAACACGGGTAGTGTTGTGGCGGCGGTGCCTCAGATAATTTTGTGTGTGTGTGAGCTCTATAGAAGCTGATTAAGACGACTTAAGTGACATAAACGGTAAAGCCGTATCCAAAAGGTAGAACAAAGTGACGGACAGTGATATCATCCCATTTACTTCCGCTTTTGAATTAGGTGTTATATGTTATAAGCGGAACCACATCTTCCTAGTGGACACCTAAGTAATTAAGAATTTGATTTTAAATTTTGCTTGTTGACTATAGAACTTAATGCACGAAGAACAAGTGATTATTTGGTTATCATGCATTTCATACAACAAAGACTCTTTTGCTTCACCTTTCAATCGTCACCTTTCAATCGTGTGTTGAGGCATACCTGCCATGTATTCGAGTTCAAACTTCACAGCCACTTCAAGGCTATGATTTCGAGGTCGACCCCTATAGCACCACTCGACTGAAATTTGATAAGTACATAGCTATCTGCGCTGACAGTTAATAACTTGGCCAAGAGAATTCAGAATGGAAAGTTCCATTAGACTGGCACGTTTGTTGAACCTTGTACAGCAGTGATAACGGCTCTGCTTGTATTGCAGTGCACGGCGACTCGGCGCGAGACATGAACGGTGACCACGGAATCCACGAAGATGAAGTTAAACGTTCCAGGGCGCAGTACAACGGCGAGCAGATCTACTCCAACCTGAGTCCCAACGTGAGTATAGTGTCTCCCATTTTGCCACATGGACCGTGGCAGCTCGTTGCCTGCTAGCGCATTGAGCTAGACGCATACAAAGTATTCTGCACGCATATAACTGATGAAGTATAAAGGAATGGTGATGCGTTTTTGAAGCACCGTGCTCCTTAGTTCAAACTACTTCAGTTGCATGTGTTTTGCTGCTCTAAATGGGCTGCGGTAGAGAAGGAACGTGAAGGCAATTCAACAAAGAGTGCATATTGTCCACGTGTTCGTAAGCGAGAAAGAGTCGCAAGGAACACACATAAAAAACGATATATCACCTCAGATTCATGAATATTTACGTCAGAATCAACAGAGTGGGTTCACCTGAATCACTTTGACTTTGTGTACGCCGATAGTGGTGACTAAAAACTAAGGCTCAATGCTGGTTCAATCAACTCCGCATATTATAAGGGTTCAACTAGAATACGCACTTTTCAGAACTTTCGCATAGCAATTACTTTCAGAAGAAGCGTTGCCCGATGGTTCCGCAAAATGAAATGCCGCGTATATATGCGTGTTTGTGTATGTGTACGCTTGCAATTCATTTCCAATTGAAATAGGCCTCAAGCGGTCACCCCATATTTACCACCATCACTGGTCGTATATAGTGCATCATGTTACAAAAAGTGGATATAGTGTCGAAATTGACTATTAGCTCAGTAGGCAGGACACGTACGTCATCATATCACCCATAAACGTATACGCAAGAAACGCAAGGTGCACGGCGACAGACATGAAAGACACTGCGCAAGTACCCTTTCGTGGTGCTTTTCGTTGCCGCACTTGGTTTACCGAACAGGTACGAGATCGAATGCCATGAATGATTACGCGGAAACGAACGAAATTTGTGCGATGCTATTGGGCGTGACTGCAAGTCGCATAAAGTGTCTGACCACACTGTTGGCAAAGAACCGGAAAGCCCAACCGACTGCAATCACGCGCAAAGGCCTCGCGGCGTCGTTCATACATGGGACAACGTGCATAGTTCTACAATCTCACGTAAATCCATGCGTTCCTGCTGTAAACACTTCTTCAGTCCGTGCTTGATTTACTTCCCGCGTGCGTCTGCCGACATGCCGGTTAATGAATGTAACATTAAGGCTGAATAGCAAGTGTTGTTATTATTATTTTACCATGCCACTGTTAAATCACGTGGTAGCTAAAATGTGGTAGCATTCCTTTTGTTTCAAATGGAGCGGTTCCTTACAATGAAAATCTGTTCACGGGCGCGCAACTTGTGCGTCGACACGCAGATGTGGGCCAAGTGGACAAAGCAGGACGAACTGAAGGCCAGCATGGCGGACCTGCCAACGAGCAACGGGTCGCCGTACCATCACCTGACGTCGCAGACGTCTCAACCGGCGCCCCCATCGCAAGGCGGCGCCTTCGAGCAGGCCTTCAGCCCCGTGGTGTCGTCAGCGGAGAAGCAGCCGGCCGAATACGACGTCGCCATGACCACCATCAACTCGCAGTCCACCGCCGTCTACTCGCCACCTCTCGGTGAGTGCGAAGCCGTCGTGGCTACTTCGACAGCGTTTGAATTTGAGCTTGTTGGCATTCATTGCAAGAAACAGCTGAAACGAACGGGACAACATTGTACTTGGCGCTGGCCAGTTTGTCTTGTTCTGTTTGTCTGCGCCGTTTCTTTCAATGGAAATTAGTAGTCCCGTCGGGCGTGCCGTGGCGGTCAGCTCGCTCGGTCAGTGAAAGGGAATCACTGATTGGTTTGAGGACGGCTTAAGTGAAAGAAATTTATATATTTGGCTCCAAAAACCCAGCGTACGAGTCTGGTCAGATTTATCAATTTATTAACATCAGATGCCAACTATATGCGTGAAACCAAATGCATTCGGTCCTTCATTCACAGCACGCACTCACGCCTGAAATGAGATGTCCAGTAAAAAGTTTCCACGCTTGCTTTGAGTCTCTCGCTCCAGAAGAAAAATCTGAATGCATTTTTTAACAACCATCAATCGGTGGTAAGTCAGCAAGCTTACCAGTGATTCCCAGTTTCAAGGTATGATGATTAACATTCAGCTGGCAAGCCAAAGACTGCACGATTATGCATGTCAATCACCCTGAAAGCAAAAGGTCTACACTGAGTGCCTTAAAAGGGACTAAAAATTATTTTACGAGCTTCCGTGAAGAGTAATAACAGAAAGATATAGCAAGCAGAGATTTACTAGGTTGTTCGTACAGTGCAAAAAAAAAAAGAATAATTAAAGGAATAGGTAGTTGCGAGGAAATGTCACGAATAAAGGTATACCATTGCTGCGCGTGCAGAGTTACACACTTCTTGTCCATGTTCAATGAGGGCGACTTTTACTTCGCTACGCCGTCTCTATGCGCATTCAAGGATGTCTTGGGACGTGATTAATGGTGCAGTCTGAGGGCTAACGTTCTGCGCAGGTTGATTACAGTTAGCGCGAATAGCTAAGGCAGGCAAAGGCGAGAAGGAGCGTGCTCCTCCTCGCTTCAATCTGCCTTCCTCTGGTTTTATTCGCACCGTTTCAGAAGTGCAACTCAGAAGACCACCCCATGTTCATAGTTAACGCATGCAGCAAGTTGCCGAAGCAGGTGTGTTGCTCGAAAGTGTTGCAGACCGCGTAGCTATGTAGAGCAGGCATTCCATGCGCAACGAATCAATCTTTTGAAACGAAAAGCCATCTGAGTTGCACTTATGATGCACAAGCGTCACGTATCACTCGCCTCCTTCCTCTCTTCGTCTTTCGTGTGGACGGAGCGCTGGAAATCGCTTCTGTTCACCGGCTGCTTTTTGCGCGCGTAATACTTGCACAGCGCACCAACGCTCTGCTGCCGGAGGTGGCGGGACTCTGCACTTATGACGACGGCTGGAGGCACAACTTCCTACTAACTCGCCTTTTCTTGACGTCCCTTTCGAAACCCCTCATTTGTTTTTTTTTGTTATTTTTTTTTGATGTACTAACTGCACATAGGATGAGGGAGGTCGTGTGGGTGCGTATGTCTACATGTCTCTCTTTCGCTGCGATGCACTGCGCGGAAAAGTTACGCGCTTTTGCTTAGCGTAAAAGAAGCTCGTGTGTATAAGAACAGTAAATGGGCTTTTGCAAAAGCAAGGAACTCTGGGTTAGCTCAGCTTAAATTAGTTTGTCTTCAGAACAGAGAACCCCGGGTTAGGGATGATGGGTGTCCCTCATCTGGCGATGACAAACAGGAGGCTTTGGGCAAAGTGGCGCAGGGACGATGCAAGTAATTTAGCTTTTCGTGGCAAGTTATTTCCTCGCGAATTTTATTTCGATAAAATAATAATAATAATAATAATAATAATAATAATCTTCTGTTTGGGTGTTCAATTAGTCTTTTTTCGGAGGAGTCGCTTTTAAAAATCAAGGGGTGGTGTTTATGTTCACAGATGCGACATAACCCTCGCAGTACTTTTATCGGTAATGACCCAAATCTGCGCCACCGTGTGTGTAAAAACGGCAATGATGAAGGAACACCGCCATGAGCAGAAATCGCAGCGTTAGCACAATACACAAGTTTATGCACGAGAAAGTCAGCGGTATTGCAAAATCTAACAATGACAGCAGACATATGTTCAATCAATGCGTTCATTTCGTTATAAATGGCCAAAATGAATTGCTTTCGAATAAGAGGGGGAAGGGGGGAGGGGCGTCCTTTAACGTGGGACTATGCTCACTAGCTTGCGTGTTGACGGCTCTCGACGATGTGCGTTTTGATTTTCATTCCTTACTTGAAATCCAGCAAACGTGCGTGGTGTGAACGTTAAGCTCGAGAAACTACTTCCGAATTCAGCGTTGATGCCACAAGTTACTGCGCGCACCACCGCAAAATGTTCGTCATATCAAATCTACACGTGGCTTATTAGCATACATAAGCTGTTATTATAGTGCAAGATATTCCTCCCAATGATTCTTATGAACGCGGGGACTTCTTTTTGTTTGGCTTTAGATTCTCCTATCGAATTTCTTCCATGGCTACATCAGTGCTTAGATCGTTTATTTCCGCTTCATTACGGCTGTGCGCGAGTCAATGATCGAGTTTATATACGGAAATGTCAATATATACTTACAGATATTGATCTTTAAATGAGCCACTTCTCGTGTGCACGTTGGTCAGCCGGATACTTTTCGGCAGCAATGTGCTGCGCAATATGAATATGTGACATATGAACATGACAACTGCCTATACATGACTTATTTCAAACAGCACTGCATTTCTCGACGCCTGAGGTGTAACAATGAAATTCGAAGTGATTAAACTGAATGAAATTAAGATGCTGCTGTAACGAGCCAAAAGAGTTTCACAGACTGCCTGGGTTGCAAGTGACACTGCTTCGGTGCAGCTTACGAGCGCAAGATACACTTTTCGGCATCGCGTGCTCACGTGTTATTCGCCCTGCAGCCAATTATTCCACCAAGGTTCATACAATCAGACATAAACGCGGAAGCAAGGCGCCTTCTTGTCTCTCCGTGGATACGAGTCGGTGCAGCCAGGAGCTTCCCTGAAGCGATCGGGCAAGCTGCGTTCAAACTGCTCCCAGCGTTCAATGCCTTTCGGGGCACGCGTTCTGCGAACGCGATCGTTTGCATTTCCTGCGCACGGACTCGGCGCGCATATCTCACCGAAAAGGAAGAGGCAGGGCCTGGGGAAAAAAAGAAATAACAGCGGAGAGATGGCGCGTTGTGCTGTCCCAGCGCCGAGCGTTCTCCGACCGTGTCCGCAACGCCCAAGCGCTGAGAAATAAGCGAGCCACGTTGTGTGCTTGCGCTGGTCGCTCTGCATGCTTGCGTACATGGACTGAACCCACGAGGGTGCAAAACTCGGAAAGGCCACGAAGACCACTCTCCTATGTATGCACCCCTGGCACACCAGTGCGTTCGCGAGGTGACGGAGAGGGGGCGACAAAAGGAAGGGGACGCGAGTGGAAGCAGCAAGGCTTATAACGCTTTGTTCGCGTCATTGAGAACCACGGGCCGGGAATCTGTTTACCCGTCAGTTCCTGGTAAGAAAACACGCGCCAGACGTAAATATTTGAGCGTTTCGTGCGTGCAGGAGGGCGCATTTTTAGGACCGCCGACTCCGATTCCGCGAAGTTTGAGCCGCGATTGCCACCGAAATAGTCGGCGGCTGCGGCCTACACTGCAGCCGTGCGTGGAGACACGAGCGGCGGCCACCGAACCCCGAGTCCACGGTTCTCGCCTCGCTCCTTGAGGGTCACGATGGCTCTGTCAGAACGAGCGTTCCCGAAAGGTTAGCATCGCCAGTGTGCCGTGCCATATTTTGATGTCTTTCTCGGGAGTTCACAATCACGTGCTCGCACTTAGTAGAGGCATGTCGAGGAGTTTTGGCCGCGTTGTTCTCTAACCGAAATGGCGACGAAGTGCATGGTAGAGGAACGATAATAGTACGCGTAAACCGTGTCTAGATTGACGGATTTCCCGATGACAGGCCTCGAGTAGAGAAAGGAACGACAGTAGTGTCGAGGTTGATTGTGCGCTTGGCCCACCTCGAGGCACACCAGTATCACATGTACAGCGATTTGTTCGGTCAGTTTCACATCAGCGTACAAGCGCGATTCAAGAAAGCCCCAGAGTAAGTAACTAGCTGAGCTCACTCTTCTAAGCTCAGAGAGGGTCGAAGTATATCCGCAAATGCACCGAATTTAGGACTCACACTTGTATGCAAACGTTCCACGTACTATAGGCGCCGCATATCACACCGGTTGCGATATAACTCGCGCTCGGGCGCGACCGCCGTTCGCATTGAACATGCGCATCACGATACTCGTTTCAGACGGACCTCCGTGCCGACCACAGAATGGCTGCGTCAACGTGCTCGTTGTCCGAAACCGCGCGCGTTGTACAACTTCCATTGCTGACGCCATCCAGCGCCGCTATCACCGGTGGCATCTCTCGGTACCATGCCTCCCCCCCCCCTCTTTTTTTTTTCCTGTATATTTCGCGTAGAAGCGGTGCGTTCAGCGATAACGGCAGCTAGGGGGCGACACCGCCGAGGGTCGATTAGAGCAGCGTAAAACGCCGCGCGACGACCGAAAATACGGGAGCAGAATTTTTTTTCGTGGGAAGAGTTTCGTACAGCGTTTGTCCGGTCCCTCCCAGAACTAATCGCTCTTTCATGATTGGCAGAAAGCGAAGCGAACAAAAAAGACAAGTCTGTCGGGCATTGGTAAGATAAAACGTTTATATATGCTTGCTTTTGCGCCCGTAGAGGCAGCATACGGAGACTTTTAGCTCTCCATGTCGCTGGGACGTCGCGCATGCGCCTTCCGCGTGTAAAACTGTCATCAGCGTCGTGCTGCAGTTTCTTTAGTACATCTTTTTTTGCCTGCGTGTTGTTCTTTTCTACCGTGGCGACGGTTGTGCTCCCTGCCGCAAGTGCACGACCGCGTCGGTGATCTCGGAAACGTGGCACGTGCGGCGATTGCGACCATTCTTTCTGACGCGATCTCGTGGTGCAGCCAACCGTACACGCCA